CGCGGAGCAGGGCCACTGGCCGGCGCACACGCGGGCGCTGCTGCACGCACTGGCGCGCTGTCTGCCAGTACTCTACCCCTGTGAGGGTATGCAGGTCAGTGCAAGATTTTGTTTTCGTTACATCTAGTAGGGGCCCTGAGGGCACCAGCTATTGTGGCTATTGCAGCAATCTTGATTAAAGTTCTATTCCAAACTTCTACTACTACTTTCTTATCTATCTATATGTGTATACTAGGTTTGGCCCACAAGTCCGTCCTCGCGAAAAAAAAACAAGTAGCCTATGTGTTTTTCGAGACTATCCTCTACATCTATGCCAAATTTCATCGTGATCCCTTCAGCCGTTTAGGCTAAAAACTCTAACAGACAACCATCCATCTAAACCTTTGCATTTACAATATTAGTGAGATAGTAAGATTAACAAATATCTCCTGATACCTAAAGAAAATTGTACTTTACATGTTGTTTTTTACAGGAGCTATCAACAGTCCACCAGAAGCTGCTGAAGTCTCTCACATCGAGCTACGCGCCGCTGCGGCAGGCTGCGCTGCACGGCTGCCTGCTGCAGCTGGGCGCGGGCCCCGCGGCGCAGCTGCTGCCCGACCTGGTGGCCAGCGTGCGACACCATCTGCAGCGACACCAGCGCACCAGGTCACTGACTGCTGGACATGAGAGGGCGTGACGTCATGTATAACTCGTGTTCCTAACGTGGTCTGTGAAGTCACGTATAACACGTGTTGGTATGAAGTGGCGTGACGTCACGTACACCACGTGTTTATAACGTGGTCTGTGACGTCACGTATACCACCTGAATTTAAGCCTATTTTGCCTTGATATCAAATATCTAAAACTATCAAATTAATCTACTGTTTTACTCCAATTAACAGTAATATTAGTAAAAATACTAATGTTTAAAATGCGAATTGTTAATTGGATGGATTGATGAAAGTTTGTTAGAGTTTGTAGCCTAGTAGTTGTTAATAACACACCTTTTCCTTTAATCAGTCTCGGGCGAAAGCTACCAATAGCAAGCCTTCGTTGTCATTTGTATTTTCACATTTTCAATAGAAAGTTATACAAATGTAAACAATAGAATAAAGTTTTTATAATATGCGGATGAAGCCGCACAGACAGTGGTATATAATTGACTCAAATATTATTCTGTGTTATACTCAATTTTCTTTTAAATTAAAAAATAAAAGGCTTGTTTTATTTATTTATTAATGTTTGGTTATAGGATATCCCTGTACGAGCAGAGTTTGTACTGGACGGTGCTGTTCTCGCTGGTGGAGCTGGGCCATCCGGAGCTGGTGACCCTCGCCGCAGACTTCGTGCTCAGCCATCCCACACATTATTGTACCGCTCTTGTTGTACGGGTCAGTATTACTGAGTATTACCAGTGTGATTATGTATTACCAGTATGGTTAAATCAGATATTAGTGAGATTTTTGTTAATTTACTAATATTTCCTATAACCATTCCAACTAAGCTCTAGGCTTCTGCTAGGATATGGTTCACAAGTTGAATGGCAGGATTCGAACCCTCGACCGCAGCCATTAGGTTGTTAGCGTTGAATTACCAGTATGGTTATGAATTACCAGTGTAGTAATTTATTACCAGAAAGATTATGTACATATGTTTCGGATTGCGATGGTTTATCATTTAATGGTCCATATTATCCCAAATGTAATGTTTATTATATTGATTTCTAAGTCAAGAGCACGCTTAAGAAGGAGAAATGTCCCCTTTATATCTTACCTCCGCAGCTTCGCAGTTGTAGATGTTTGTAGGCTTCGGTGGCTTCGCTATTTCTGCGAATTCAAGTGACTGCTTACTCCTTTGCCATTTTATCATGTTAAAATTAGCTCAAGTCGTAAATTAATATTCTTCACTACATATTACTAAAACAATATGCGTATTACCTAAACGTAGTATTACTGTTTGTGTATTACCAGTCTATTCCTATGTGTATTGGTAATTTTCTTCCAGGGTATAACGACAGTAATTCGAAAACAGATATTACCAAAAGATCTGAAGAATAATGTGATAGAGAAACTATTGGATAATTCAACCAAGTACAGTGAAGAACATGCCATACAAATATTAATGGTTCATCTGTTTTCTGGTAAGTTTTGAAAGAAAACTAATATGGTATTTTTTAGTTATAAATATATTACTATGTTATTTAGTTTTTAATTGTATTTTTTTAAGTTCAAAGTTTTATTTTTGTGACTTCACTAGTTTATTTGGAAAAAAAAACGATTTGTAATTATTTGTAGACTACATTTTAATTAATTTTTTTTATTACGTTTTTTTTTTTATTGAATTTTAGAGACATAAATATCAAATTCGATTACATATTTATTTAGCTATTAATTTTCTCATTGACGTATGAAAAAAATATTTTTGTACTACAGATATAATGAATCAATTTTTGTCAATTTTTAGCTGATAGTAGACTATTAAGTCCAAAACTGACTATTGACGTATCAAATATGGACCCCGACGTACTCATGAGTTCTATGGAGAGAATTACATTATTATACAAAACTCTAAAGCGTTCCAAATTAAAAGAGAGTAAGCAGATACTGGCAGAAGCTCTCAAATACTTTTTGAGAGAAACTCTCCCCCCAGCTGCGACTTTGAGTAGAGTTGTGATGGAGTTTATTGAGTGTTGTCGGGAGACTGAGGGGAGATTGGGTTTATTGAGTGAAAGAGAGAAATGGATTCAGAGTTCTGTTTTGAACGCTGAAGTTGTTTATGTGGTATGTATTTAATTATTTTTATTATGGTAATATCTCTATTTTATTTTTTTATTCTTTTAGTAGAATATATGTTAACTTTAGAATCCAGAATAATGTAACTTCAATTATAATTAATTATACAAATTATAATCTGCGATTTCTCATACTTTTTTTTATTTGAAACTAAAAAAAATAACAAGTCCGAAAAACAATCAAATTTAACTCAAAAAGACAAAAAAATCAAGTTATAATTTGAACAATTTAATTTGTAATACTAGCTCTTGTTCGCGACTTGTATTACACGAATTATAAAAAAATAGTAGATTTTGTAGTTAAATATATTCAAAAAACTAAATATTTTAGATATAATTTGACTTTTATTATATTCCTCTACAGGTATTTGAAACTGCAGTCTCACAGGACCAATTACCAGTATTAAGTGGTTGGATTTTCGAAGCCTTATGTCATTTATTGACGGGCAAAATATCCTCAAATTTACTACCATATTGTGTCCTGACTATTCTAGTATCGGCCAGTTCAAACCGGTTTATACGTAAAATGTCTCCGCTCTGCTACCATGTGTTCACTAATAGTTTAACTAACGATAACAATAACGACAATTGGCGTGTATTTAGCGATACGGAAACGATAAATGGAATCACATTTCTTAATAAAAGGTTGTTATGTGTGGTTGCGGTGCATTCTAATTTTTCAACATCTCAGTTGGTGAGGTTGAAAGAATTGTGTGGTAATAACGATTGTTTGAATTATTTAATGCAGTGTTTATCTCAGTAATTGGACTTAGAAAGAGATGGATGGATTGCGTGAAAGGTGACATGATCAAGGGAGTGATGACTGAGATGACCTATATACTTATTTGGAGGACAAAAACCTGTCGCGCTACGAGAGTAGGATAAGGAGAAAGATGATGAATTTTATTTCAGTAATAAAAGCCTTATTTGAATAAAAGAGATAAATGGTTCTTTGTTATACCAACGTTTTACGTTGTAAATTTTAATTCATTAAAGGCCTGTTCCACCACTGGCTGATAACAACGGCGGATCCAGGGGAGGTCATAGTGGCCATAACCCCCCCTCCCCCCACCTGAGCTGGTTGCTCAACTACGACTTGACTTGACTACAACTTTGTGCCCCCCCCCCCTCGGCGCCTTAGTTGGATCCGCCCTTGGCTGATACAGGCTGATAGCTTATGACGTCACTGTCATAAGGGAACAAAATCCGATATTTCCATCACATTTTACACGAGATTATTATCAGACTACAATTTGGTGGGACATGGACTAAATTTAAATTTCAAATTTAAAAATAGCTAAACAGAAATTACAAGGTATTTTTTTTTAATCTACATTTTTGTTTTTATTTATTTAAATGCGTCTCGTAGTTCGTTTAAATATAGTTTTAAGTGTAATTTGTGTGGCTGTTTAAACTTTTAAGTATATATTTTTAATATATTTCTGTTATTAAGACGATGCAAGGAAAAGTAAAAGGACATGTTAAGATAAATATTCTATCAGAAAACAAAACAAGTTTGATATTAATTGAAAAATGTTGGTCCTTTGAGCAGTATATGCTTTTAAATGACGGATATTTATAGAAGTATAATAAATTTGACATGTACAATGCCACTATTATTTGTAATAAGTGGCAAAGCGGTGGCATAAAGTGTGGCATAAGCAAATGTGTTTAATCGCACAATATGTACAAAGATTGTAAGGAAAAGTCAGTTGGAGAATAAAGTTGGTATTTTGTTTTTTTATTCATGTCAGAATTAAGTAAATTAAAAAAGCTTAAGTATCAAAAAAAGAACATTTATTTTTATGTTAGTGGAATGGTTAAAATTTGTTAGACAGAATATAAAAAAATCAATATTTTTAATAAATATATAGGTTCGGTTGATTTTATTTATTATATTTAAAATTGCATAAAGTTATTCATTGAGACAGTTAATCTTATTTAGGGAGAAAAATTGTTGAAAGAAATTAGTAGGGGCCTGAAAAGTTAATTCTACAAGTAGTCATAAATATCTTTAATATCTAGAGTACTGAAATTGAGAAATATTCGCTAACTTAGGCTTTAATTAAACAGAACAGTGTAAACGGAAAAATATATTTTGTAGTATTCCAGATAGTAAATAGGTTATGGTTACTCCATTATAATTGACAATTCAAGTGAACTGGTCAGTAAATACTGAAGTCTGTAACGGGGTTAAGGTATGAAAAGTCGTGCGGCTTCATCCACATGAAATTATGAAAATTTCATTCTATTATTTTTTTAATTTTCAATTTCAAATGTCATAATTACCATGATCATAATAACCTTGCTTCCATAAAGTTGGCAGCTTGTAGTTTATGGTCTCTTTCCCACATGAAGCTTTTTTACAATTTATTTACCCCCAAGTTTAATTGTGTGAAAATGTATAGCCTAAAGCGTGTCGTAAGTGTAGGACTTTTTATTAAAGAAAGAATTATTCAAAAACATGCTGTGATGTCTGTCATCTTAGGCAACAACGAAGTGTGTGTTTACGCTTTATTATAATAGTATACATATGGAACCTTGTGTGAAATTATCGGTGCCTTTTCAAATCAGCAATTTCATGCTTTAACCCATAAAACAATATCATAATTTGTTGATTTCCGATTTTATTAGGGTGATTATCTTTTGTCTACGTCACTAAATCGCACTGACATCTGTCAAAGTTGACATTCATGTGTTCATATTTACAGCACAGATTATAATAGGTTTTAAGCTTAATAAATTTAAAATTGGTCTCATGTCACTTCACAATCTAGTTTTAAATACATTAGCTAAAAGATTGCGTAGAAAGTCTGATTAGCACTGCTTGGTAGAACTTTGAGGTTTAATACCGGGCGCACACTTTCAACTAAACTATCGCACAACTGTTGTGCGATTGTTTATTGTTTGGCAGCCAATTTAACTTTTCTGCACAATTTTTAATCTAGTAGTGTGCGCCCCTTCATATAAGCTCATAGGAATCAAAGCGAGACAAAACAGTTGTGCGATAGTTTAGTCAAAGTGCGCTCTAATTATCTAAAAGTGCGATATTATTCAAGTCTTTAGTGTTCACGTGAGGTGTAAACCAATTTTCTGGTTTCTAGTGAGAGAGTTAACCATTTCAAACACTTTTCTAGCTGAATTTGTACTGTCACAGTAACACGTTTCAAAACAATAAATATAATAACATTTCTTATAGATAAGCCAGAAGTAGTTATGTTACTTAGATGTGACGTTACATACCACTTAGATGGATTACCGACTTTATTAAAAAAAAAAACTATACAGAGTGTTCGAAAATAATGAAATTTTCGGACACTTTATTGAAGTTTGTTCTACTTGTGACCATAAGCAATATTAATAGACTAAAATTACATTTATTTTGTATAATCACAGTTAATAAATACAGGCTGATGTTTTTTTATGTAAATGTAAATGTGGGTAGTACGAAAAATGTTGTGATGTTCTAAACTAGACGTATATTTTATGAAATTATTCGAAATTATATTTATAGAGCAATGGGCTTTCGCAGCAAATAAATAGATAAATAAGTAAATGTTGTTTTATTTATATTTCCTCTAGCTTTCGCTCGCGACACCATCTGTGGGGAACTGAAAAACAAAAGTAAGTAGCCAATGTTTTCTTCGAGGCTATGTTCTACATCTATGCCAAATTTCTCTTACGCTATTGTGCTACAAACTGACAAATATCCATCTAAATTTTGGCATTTATAATTGAGATCAAGACAGTAAGATTATCTATACTAATGTTATAAAGAGAAAAATTTTTTTTTTTGGAATTTCGTATGCATTGAAATAACTCAAAAACAACTGCGCTGATTTTAAAAATTCTTTCACCGTTAGAAAGGCAATTTATCTGTAACATAGGATATATTTCATAATTTCACGCGGGCAAAGTCGTGAGCAACAGCTAGTATTCTATATACTAATATAAAGAGGAAAGGTTTGTATGTATTGAAAAAACTACTGGGCCGATTTCAAAAATTCACCATTAGAAAGCCACGTTACCATAGGTTATATTTTTTATTGTTATTTCTTATAATTAAACAATACTGTGCAAGGGCGGATCCAGCTTTGGCGCTAGTGGGGGAGGGGGTCACATAGTCGTGGTCAAGTTGATAAAACATGTAACAAAAACAAAAATGTAATTTAACAGTGGTAGTGCCCGATTTAACATCTTAGCACTGCAGGGCCGGCACGCCCGGTGTAATACCAAGACCATACAGAAGACAGGCGTGAAATGGAAGCAATTCCGTGTTTCGTCTAATGAGTGTGGTGCCGGAGGCCTATTTAAGTCCCTTTCTTTTACCACCCTTTCCTTATGAGAGGATGGTAAGGGGAAGTGGATTTGACGATGGAGGAGATGCATAGGAAGAGGAAATATCCTCTTTATGTGCGTCTCCTCCTCCGTCGGATAAGGGTTGGCGACGCATCTGCAATTGCAGATGTCTATAGCCAGCGGTCGCTTTGCCATTTTGGCGGATTTCCTGTGGCCGCTTGCTCGTTTGCCATCTTATGTTATAAAAAAAAATGTGAATATATTTTGTCAAGCAAGTACCAACCAGCTCAGGGGAGGTCATGAGCCCCATGACTCCCCCTCCTGGATCCGCCGTTGATCCTGTGGGTTAACACTTGTCTCAGGATTTTCACAATGGTAATGTCGTTTATGTCACTTTAATCTATAAATATATTAATAGTGATTCAATAAGAATTAACCAGCGTTTATCGACGAAGTAATCAATTCTTATCTTTATTGTAATTACAGATAATTTTAGTATTAGTTGTAGCAATATGGCGGTAACACGCCGTGGTTATATTTTTTGTACGTTCATATCTAGTTTAGTGTGCATTATTTTAGTGGTTGTTGCGATCGCTAGTGACAGTTGGGTTAGTATGTACTAAAGTTTTATTATCTGGTAGTTTCCGGCCGCGACTTTTCGTTAATTAAAATGAAACAAATGAGTAGCCTGTGTCCTTCCAAACTAAGGATAGTAGAGGACTATGACTGCCAAATTTCATCGAGATCCGTTCAGCCGTTTAGACTACAAACATCTATCTATTAAATGTATTATTTTTTATTGGTTATAGCAACTGTAACATATTTTGATTATTCTCATATCTTTATACATTCTTGTATGTTATAAATTTAATATCAAATGTCGATTAATGTATTATAACACTGTATCTAGTCGGATTTAATTCAACGTACCTGGGGAATAACCATAATTCTTATGGCTACAGTGAAATTCAATATTTAAGACACGTAATTTATAATAGAGTAGGTTTGGCTCTCGGCTTTGTCCTCTTTAAAATTCTTGTAAATAAAGAAATTAGACTAACAATAAATGTCTACGCACTGATAACGAAGCTTTTTAATGGTGAAAGAATTTTTAAAATCAAAAGTAGATTTTGAGTTATTCCAATAAATACAAAAATATAAATCTCTCCTTTTTAATATTAATATAGGTAAATTAATTTAAGAAATTATAACAAAGTTGCTCACTCTACATCACTCTAAACTTAACAATTTACTTCCATACAATACATAAGTCGTTACGAGCGTAATTTGTAACAGAGTATGTGACAAAAGCTTTAATTACGTCGCTTTCTCTTGTAGCTTTTAGAGCCATCGTCGTTCTAAATAGATTTCAATAATTAGATTGCGTTTAAGAGCTTTCACTGTAATTAAATTAAAAGCACAATATTAACCTTTGTTAACTGTTTCTTACATTATTAATTTATTGTGTTTTAAAATAACTTTTTTAAAATAAATAAATCTTTAAAAACACAGAATATTGCTACTTGATGTCTTTTTTTTGAGATTATCATGTTTCATTTACGAAGAAGAAAAAGTTTTCTAGTAACTTCTCCCACTTTTGTAAGACTAAGGGCCAGTCCCACCAAATTGTAAATTGTCTGATAACAATCCAGTCTGATAAAAATCCAGTGTAAAATATGTTATTAATATAAGATTTTGTTTCCTTATCTGAGAGTGGCGACATTTTTAAGAAATCTGAGAATCTGTCAGCCAGTGGTACAGTCTCTAAATGTTAGTTGGAGAACCTCCAGGATCATATTACTCGACAATCGACTTAATTACAACCACAATAAGGTGCAGTATAGTGTGTCATCATTGAGTCCGTTCCAGATAGTATCGAGCGCGTGGTTGGAGGGCCAAGTAGACTACAGCAACATCCGCTATGGCCTGTTCCGAGGAGAACTGGCGCTACGACATCTCGGCACACCATCTTATAACACCCTGTATAGTAAGTGTTACTAACAATTAATGTTAAAAATGTCGTGATGTACACTCAGGGAAACTGACGGTGTTCCACTTTGAAGCTATTGCTTAAACATTTTGAAACGAGACGCGGACCAAAAAATAATACAACGTAGATACGAAAATTTTTCTTTTTATTATCCTTTCGTTTGTCCTCACGGCTATCTAATTAGTTATTTATAAGAGGCGGAGTTTGTCACGGCCGATGTCCGGGACTATACATCAGCGTAGACATTCAAGGATGTGTGTGAAATCAACCTGTATTTGGCTATAACCAAGTAGGGTCTGGTAGAGATGGTCTGGTAACCGAACTCAAAAGAGTTCGGTTATTTTTTTTTTATTTGTTAAGCTAGCGCTTGACCACGATTCCACCTGAAGGAGGTGACGATGCAATCGAAAGATGGTACGAGCTAGCTTAATAGGTAGCTGTTCACTCTCCTTTTGAAGGCCTCCACGTCATATTTGGACGGGAAAACTGATGCCGGCAACATGTTCATCATGTTCATGGCAACAATCCTTTGCAGTGCGCACAAGGAACGATGATTGAAACTTTTTCGTTCGAACTCGCGGAATATCAACTACGAAAGGATGGAATTCGGCCGTATGCCTGAACATCCGGTGGTAGAAAGAGGACGGTGGAATTAAATCGTGCAGTTCTTGTGCACACTCTCCAAAATGTAGCCTGTAAAACACAGACTTGACAAAGATTTGGAACGATTTTAAAAACATGCAATATAAAATCGATCAACCAGTTAAAGCCGCTTAGTCTATGAGCGGACAAAATCACAACAAAAATGATATAAAGAATAGCTAAAGCATAGTTTCACAGACTTAAGCGGACTTAGAGTGGAAATGGTCTCTCTGTGTATATTTCTTTTAAGAAACGTATAATCAAACGGACGTTCATTAAAAGGCTAAAGTCTACATTACTTTTACTAATTAAACTGCAGCCTAAACTGTCCGTCGTTAGTCTAGATTTATTTCTAACTAGCTGCTCCCATGCGGCTTCATCCGCATAAAATTATGAAAATTTTATTTTATTGTTTACATTTGTCAAATCAATTGCAAATGTCAAAATACCTATTACCTTACTATGGCAATCTTGCTTCCTTGATATTGGCAGCAACCAATGGTCTCTTTCTCACATTAGGGTTTTTATCCAAAATATTTACCCCTAAGTTAAACGGCGTGAAAATATATAGCCTAAAGCGTGAAGTAAGAGTATGGTTTTTATTAAAAAAATAATTATTCATAAATATGCTGTGATTGCTGACATCTTAGGCAACAACGAAGTGTGTGTTTACGCTTTATTATAATAGTATAGATAGATTCTAATTGTAGAATAGATAAAAATATATTTACAGTAAATAGGGTCTTATGTACAGCAATAAACAAGCCTATCCAATTTACTACAAAGGCTTTGCTAGCTTCCTTTTAGGATCTAACTAACCTTCATATAAATTGGGAAAGGAATTTAGATGGCTTAGATGGAAAGGAAATTTGGCCTGTTTTTTATTGATATTGGGATTGTTATTGCTTAGTTACGTATAGGGGATAAATTATTTAATAATAAATGTTATAAAAAGCGTAAGAAATCTCTACTTAAATTGCTAAAGTAAAATGTACAAATATAGGATCTTAAATACAGTAGAACCTCGATAAGTTAAAGTCCAAGTTAAGCACAAAATATTTTAAGTTATAGAGGTTTCAAATTATTATGGGTCTAAGTTGTAGGGGTTTTGGGCTCTGATGGGAAGGGAACATTATTTTTTGAAGTTATAGAGATTTTTAAGTTACAGAGGTTTAAGTTATCGAGGTTCTACTGTAGTAACATTTCGATCTGAATCTGACTGATCCATAACTAGGAGTTTTTACGTAGAATTAGTTAACGTACAAGCCATGTAACCTTTGAGTTTTCATTGCTTAAAAACATGTATAGAAAAGTTATAGTTACCCCTTTTGGTTTAAAAGAAATTAACAGCGATGCAATATGAGTATTTAAGAGCCAAACAAAGCTTAACTTATCGTTTAGGTAGTCGCGTATATATGAGTCCTACATTTTATCTTACTAATATTATTATTGCGAAATAGATGGATGTTTTGTTATTTCGTATCTCTAGAATGGCTTAAAGGATCTCGTTGAAAATTGGCACAGATATTGTTCAAGGAGATTTTACACGTTTTTAGAGTCAAGCCATTAGAAAAGAAGAAGAAATTGAATTATTCAAAATTAGAACACATCGTTGACGTCATCACTTTTTTATAGTCCTTTTTCTGTACATATTTTATCATTACACTTGTCTCCGTTAAAAATAGTTTTATTTCTAAATCTTTTACGATATACAGATATAGAGCATAGTCTGTTTAACCGCTTAGGTGCTAGAACATTTTTTTTAATCCAACGCAAACGGAGTCGCGGGACAGCTTTATCATATTTCACAGTATCGATTCGTATTTTATTAATGGTTAATATCCTAAAAGGTTAATAGAATAATATACTCACCAATGCCATAGGTTTTTTAGTGCTAATAAAATATTCAATATCGATATCAAAATCAACACGCGATGTAAACGAACCGAATACTAAAGCCGAAAAAACTGGCATTGATTTAACAATTTAACTATTGCGTCACCTTAGTGTAGACTAGGTGTTGCTCCCGACGTCTGCGTCTTATTAAATACAATAAAAACGTGTCCTACATTCACTGATAACACAGCTTTTTAATGGTGAAAGAATTTTTGAAATCGCATTAGGTTTTGAGTTATTTCAATACATACAAAAATCGAAAACTACAAATCTTTGCTTTGTATAATATGAGTATAGATATAGACTAAATTAAAGAAATTGCTTAAGGATTTCCTTCTTTAACCTATCCTTAAAAGATGATAGAGAAGCTTCGGATCTAATCATAATAAAGAGAGTACATAAATACATTTTAGTTCGCAATCTGACCGTTGGAAGTCGATTAATTATTAATTACGAGCTGTTGCCCGCGGCTTCGTCCGCGTGGAATACCACGCGGACTATTTTTCTAATAGGAAAACATGCAAACTATATAAATTACAAAAAGTTACGTATCCCTCGGGAACCGGACATTTCTCGGGGATGAAGCTTATCTCATGTGTACTCCAGACTTTGTTTTATATCTGTGCCAAATTTCAATAAGATATGTTGAACCGTTGCAGAATGATCGAGTAAACATTAAAAAACTAAATTAATGAATCCCTTGGGCACCGTAACTATTACCGGGATAAAAAGTAGCCCATGTGTTCTTCCAGACTATGCTCTAAACCTGTGCCATATTTCATAGAGATTCGTTCAGCCGTTTAGGCTACAAACGCTAACAAACATCCATCCATCCATCCATCTAAACTTTCGCATTTATAATATTAGTAAGATTACGAACGTAACGTAATTTGTAATAACAATTATACTAATACTAGCTGTTCCCGTGCGATTTCATCAGCATAAAATTATTTTATTGTTTACATGTGTCAAATTGTCAATTGCAAATGTCAAAATGACATGACAAACCTTGGCAATCTTGCTTCCTTGATGTTGGCAACAACTTATGGTCTCTTTCCCACATTAGGGTTTTTATCTAAAATATTTACCACCTAAGGTTAATGGCGTGAAAATATATACCCTAAAGCGTGACGTATAGGGATTTTTATTAAAAAAAGAATTATTCAAAAATATGTTGTAATTGCTAACATTTTAGGCAACAAAGAAGTGTGTGTTTACGCTTTATTATAATAGTATAGATTGTAATACGAAAGTTTCTTAGGGTTTAGATCCTAAACGGCTAAACGGATTTTAATAAAATTTGGTATAAATGTAGAGGATAGTCTGGAAACATTACTCACTTTTGTTTTTTTTTTTAATTCCACACCACGGTGTCGCGGTCAAAAGCTAGGTTCTTTAATATTATTCCTTAATTGCAGTGACCTGTCTCTCTGATGTCAGCGCGTGTGCTGTAAGCTGCAAAACCGAACCACAGGCCAGAGAAGATGAGGTTAGTTTCAAAATTCTTTTACATTTGTTAGACAAAACCGGTTACAACGATAAATGAACGTATACTCAGTAGTAACAAGCGATAGTTAAACTGTAATACATTTTTATAGGATTCAAAAATCTTACTAACATTATAAATGCGAAAGTTTAGGATGGATGTTTGTTAGAGTTGCCACCTAAATTGTTGAACGGATATCGATAAAATTTGGCATAGTTGTAGAGTATAGAACATATAGCTACTATTTTTTTTTGTATTCCCACGCGAACGGAGTTTCAGGCGAAAGCTAGTATTTATGAAAATAAACATGGTGTTCATTCGATTTTTCTCTTTGTACTAAGAAAATTCAATATGCAATGCATTTTAACATTACGCCATAGAATTTCGCATTGAATTTCTGTATTATTAATTCCATGTTACTATTACAAACTCCAGTTTCATATAGCCTATTGTACTGAGACGAAGGCATTTCTATAGTCAGCGTCACCGCTTTGATGGAACCTTTGTGAAAGGAAACGAGGAATGGAATGACAGTTTAACATTTGATTAGTATTTAGTTCCATTAGTTTAGTATTAGTTGGTTTCGCTTTGATATGAGCTTATGAGGTACGCACACTCGATTTTTAATTGTGTAACTAAACAATTTAATTGGCTTCAAAACAATTGACAATCGCACAACATTTGTGCGCTAATTTAGTCTATGTGCACCCACTTTAAGATTCTACTATCGGAATATATTGCTATCCCTGTCCATCTCTTTAAAAAGACAAAGATAGAGTTTCTGTATTGAATTTTTCGGTTACGCTGTAATACTTTGTATTATGATTTACAACTCTATCATAAACGTTTAAAGTCTAAATTGCTGTGACGAAGTTTCCAATTAAGTGTTTATTGTTAATCTATGTTTTCTACTTGTTAGGTTCGAGCTCTAGCGGAGGGCTTGAGACCGAATCAAGCCTGCGTTTCCGTGACTACAATAGATACAGAGAATCCTTGTAAGTCCTTCATATCATAACTATACTAATATTATTAGAAAGATATGTATTTTTGTTATTGAAATAACTCAAAAACTACTGGGCTGATTTTAATAAATCTTTCACCATTCGAAAGGTAATTTATCTGTGATTATATCGCTATATTATTTTTTAATTTCACGCAGACCAAGTCATAAACTACAGCAAGTTATGTGAGCATATTTTGAAATCATATGCGTTACCATATAGGCCTCTGCCCTGCATTGGCAGGTGACGCTAGTATACCTACCTTTCCATTTCGGTGGATTCAGGTGGCCGCTTGCTCGTTTGCTACCTTATATTACAAAAAAAATGGGTAGGATATTAACGTCCTTGACTATTGCAGTGTCGGGTCCAGCGGTGATATCGTTCGGGATGTACGCGGCGGTCACCGCGGTGTTGTTCCTACAACTCGCACTGGCGACGGTAGCGGCCGCGCTGGCTATACTCAACGCAACTAAAAACCCCACTGAACCAGTCTTCGGGTTACCTGGTATATATAATGAAATTTGCCTTGAGATATATGTCGTATATTCAATTGAAATTAAGATATTTCAAAATATACTTGAATTAAGAACAGCGCCATCTATCGTCATCGGTTTTAAAATAAAGTTTTTAAAATTTTCATTTATTTATCAGTCTATACTATCTATACTAATGTACTAATATTATAAAGATGAAATATTTACTATATTAAAAAAGCTATGTCATCAGACAGTAACGTAGACTATGTTTTTGTTATTTTTTTAACTTCACGCGAACGAAGTCTAGAGCAACAGCTAGTTTTAATTCAATTTAATAAAACTATTTGAAATGTACATCTGTAAACTAAATACAGCGCCATCTATCGTCTTTCTTCAATTCAATCTTCTAAAATTCCTTTGTCAATATCTTAGAAAGCCAAGACCATCCTATCAATAAGTTCTGTTACCTAATACATATTTTAATATTCCCAGGATGTCTGTGGACTAATGTGGCGACAGCCATCTTGGGGCTAACAGTACTGATGGTGTTCGGCATCTACTGGGCAACGTCTGGACTCAACGAGCACTTGGCTCTCTCCTACATAGCTGCTGAAGTATTCGCTCCTGATCCAAGTCTAGGATATTCATACTGGTAATAATTAAAAATCTATTTTTTATTTAAATATTCTAACATTAATTTAATAAATACGACCGAGTTATAAATCAAATAGCGCCATCTATTAGCAGTGTTTTAAAACGCAAAGTAGTATTAAAAAAAATTATTTATTGAATTCGAATTTTATTTTATTTTACTTTACTCAAATACATAAAAAAAGATAAAGCAATAAACAAAAGTTATGACAACCTCGTTTTTTTTTTTTAATTCTTTCGAATTTCACTTCTCACGTTCACTAAAATTGTTTACGTTGATGTAATATGACCGGGCAAGACAAAACGACATCAATTTTGTGAAATCGGTTCAGTTTATACTTTTTTATACTACAAGAGATCATAGTTGAAAAAAATACTTGATTTTAAAATTGTTTTTATTTCCAGGTTGTTACTGCCGGCTGTTGTCTGTTCGCTTACTAACGTAGGCCTGATCGAGCTTCGAAGATATTTATTGGAAAAGGACCCTCCACCGCCTACTATTAAAGTCGAAAATCATT